GTCACTGGCCCTCATATGTGGGATATGAACCGGGGCCCTCTGGCGTCCCAAGCCAGCTCTTAACCATCGTGCCACTCGGCTGGCCCTTGAATATAATTTTGACCCTATGCACCTTCTGAGAATGTCTTAGGGATGCCCAGGAGCTCATGGGCCACACTTTGATATAAAAAAAGAAAGAAACAATTATAATGATTAAGGGCATTTGCTAAAAAATTAATGTTTAGGTTCAGATCTTATTCTGCTATTTAGGCTATTGAATGTAGACAAATTTCTTAATATTTCTTAAGTTTTGTAATCATGTTTCCTCACCTGTAGGATGGATATAGTGATACCCATCCTTCAAGGTTATCATGAGGATTAAGTGAAATATTCTTATGTTTAGTGCCTGGACCTTGTCCAGCTATCGATAAATAGTAGTTGCTGCTGCTATTGGTATGTTATCATACTAAAGCTTGTAGAAACATCCAGATGGCAGCGTATTTAGGTTCTTTAAAGTATTTGAGTAAGCTAAACAGTTAATATTCAGCATTCCCAATATTTTCATATTTTAACTTTGCAGTCATACAAGACAGCTTTGCTTCTCCTGATTTGCCTTTGCTGACATGTTTGACAGATCAGGAGTTTGGGCCTGATTCCTTATTTCACCAAAATGAGCTAAGTTTTGCACCTCTGAGGTAGGATGATTTATTTTTTAATTTGTATATAACCTTTCTACTCTTTTCTTGTTCTGAGTTGTTACTAATATTAAAGACTTTAGCCTAAGGTGAGAGTTTGGGGTGGAAGTTAGATATTCTCAGCGAATAGTCTAAAGGTAAAAGGCCCTAAGTTAAGACATGATGCATATCAATTTGGCCTAGTAACGTGTAAAAATGAGTCAGGTTACCGTAATTTATTTAAAAATGTTTCTAGTGTTTTCTAGCATTTTAGGCATATTTTAATTTAGCGGGCTCACTGGATTTTTCTTTTTGTAAATCTCCCCTTTTGCTTCCCATCAGGCCATCCCCATTTTGTAAAAAGCATTTATTTCATGCTCACTAACTTGTTTGACACACTCCTTTGGATCACCTGATACTGAATGAGCCTACATATCTTTCTTTACCTTAGAGGAGGTGTGAATATGAAGTAATAAAATTATTCTAACAGACACATGTTCAACTTAACAATTATTCCACATTAATCCCCTTTAGAATAGTCATAATGGGAGACAAGTCTGAAATTCTCCAAAACATTTGAAATTATCCAAGAATATGCTTTCTTCTTTTAGGACTAAAAAAAGACACCTTAAATTAAAAACTATAGATATTTACCTAGTAAAAACCTCCACCCTTCACCCTTTTTTGTATTTTTTCATGTTAGTATTTAAAAAAATAAATATTCTTAATGTGTAACTTATTTATTTTTAACTGCATTTTTTCAGGGGAATTCCTGGTAAGTCTGAAGACACCGAATGGTTTTCTCGACCATCGGAAGTTAGTGAAGCTTTATTCCAGGCAACCTCAGAAGTAGCTTCAAACTTTGGTAACAGCCGCTTTAGTGTATCTCAGCACCCACTTATAGGTACTACAGCTGTTGAGCCTCAAGACTCTTTTTTACCTGGTGAACAAGGAACCAAAGAAGAGACCATTTCATCTGATATAGCTGATAAACTGAAAACGCCCAAAGACTCTGATAGTTATGATGCTCTTCGTGCATATATGTCATGGAAGACACAAGAAGTTACACAGGAACCAGAAACCAATTTAGCTGGTAAAGATCAAGTTTCTTTTTCAACTTCATCTGATACAAGTGATGAATATATAACTTCTAAAGAAAGTGACAGTTTTGATGCTGCTTGTTCATACGTGCAATATTGGAAACAAGAAGCTATACAGCAGTCAGAAAAATATTTAACCAGTGAGGACCATGATTTTTGTTCAGATTCATCTGATACAGTTGATAAAAATAAAATTTCTGAGGGAAGTGACAATTTCAGTGCCCCTTTTTCACGTATGTCATGGAGCAAACAAGTTTCCTACCATCCAGAAACATGTCTAATCAGTAAGGACTGTGTTTCTTTTGCACATGAAGCTGCTCCCCATTTTAGTAATACAGTGTCATATTCTTTCTTGCATTGCTTGTTGGAAAAAAGAAGGAAAAGGGTTCCCTTGGTGTCTGATAGTTATTTTCAGAGTGTTTATTTAAGGGCTCCAGCTGAGAATGAGTTGACACAAAAGATGGATTCTTTGGAGGGTTATGAAAGAAATGAAGAAGGTCTGGGGAAAGACTTATATCAATGTTTTGAACTAAAGGAGAATAGCAATACTTTGGCATTTTCAGAGGTTCCTCCCAGATCTTCAGAAATACGGTATATTGATAATGTTGTAGTTATTGATCATTCTGTAAAAGTTTCAGAAACACATGTACTCTCCAGGGGACATGATACCTCTAAGGTAGAGGCTTCTGGTTGTCCTCTTCAGACTATTACATCCAACTTAGGTGAGACATCAGAAGAACTGTATTTTCAAGGGGAAAGAAACCAAAAGGCAAGTTCTGCTTTTGGTGAGAAAAATTTTAATGCTACTGAAAATGTAGCCTTTGAGGCAGTTATTGCCTCTATTGAGCCTTCCAAGAAAGAGAGTACAGTACATGAAATCCAAACTGCCATCAATAAATGTTTAACAAACGACAGCCAAGAAAGGGATCCCCAAAATTCAGAGCTTTCCCTATTCAGTTATAATAAAAACTCTTTCTTTGATAAATTTAGTCACCCACTATGTCATTCTACTCCTGGAGTGTTTGAACCAGCAGCTTCAAAACCATTATTGCATAAAAAAGATGATTATGTTAGCTCCCTGTACTGGCATTCTAATTTAAATTCGCTCCCCAATGCTCCTCAGGAAGTGTTCATTAAGCCACCTTCTTTTATTCCAAAGCTTAATTCAGAGCTTAATTCATCTGCTTCATTAAGTGGAAAATCTCACAGACAGGTTGTTGGTCTTTGTAAAACACCATCAGCTTTATTTCAGTGTGATATAGACAATGAACCATTTCTTCCAGTTGGGAAGACAAAGTCTGTTCCTGCTCTTGACCTTGCAGAGAAGGTAGGATCTTCACACATGTATCCACTGAAAGCTTCAACTTCAGATTCGTTGTCTTTACAAGATTCAAAGCAGCAAACATTTGAAGAAGTTGCAGATTCCTCAAGCTATATTTTGGGTAAGAATGTAAATTCTAGGTATGTCATTGATGGCCCATTTGCAACTATAGGAAGCAGCTTTTCAGCAAACTTGGTGGCCTATGATGCAAAGTCACAAGGTGCTTTACCGATGACCAGTGATGCATCACTAATTGCAGTCGGCCAAGAGACATTGCTGAAAGCTGATAGGGACCTAGGTGAAATTCCTCAGCCTGTGGGAGCCAAGTCCAGTTTAACAATACATACAATTATGCAAAATGACTCATATTTTGTAGCGGGCCTGCAGGGAAAGGCTGAATCTGACATCTGTACCCTGGGTGATGATACTGAATGCTGTAGCCTAGATGAAAATGCTGTTACATGCAGTGAAAGAGTTGCTGAACTACAAAGAGAGGTGAGACACAATAAAATGATAGTTGGGGGAAGCATGATCTTTTCCATTATTGTTTCAGGAAATGGTATTGTTACTTGTTTTTATTTTACTTTTTACTATTTTCCAGATATGTGACCAAAGTGACTCGACTGGTGAGTGCATTGAGCTAGCAGGCTTAGAAAATTTGCTTGATGATCTAGAGATTTGTGACAGCTCCCTGCGCTGGGAGCCTGCTTTGCAACTACCATCCAAGGAAGATAGCTGTTTTGAAGAGTCTGTAAGTTTTTCGAGTTGACATTTCCTGTGGGCTAGGGAAAGAAATATTGTAGTTGATGGGCTGGCCGAGTGGCGCGTTGGTTAAGAACTGGCTTGGGATGCCAGAGGTACCAGGTTTGGATCCCACATATGAGGGCCAGTGACACTGCCCTCCACAGCTAAGATGCTGAAACAGCTCAACCTGGAGCTGGGCTGCTGTGAGTCGCCGGCGACGGCATAGGCTGCAGCTCCTGTGGCAGTGGGTTGCCATGGGCTACCGTGTGTAGCCAGCAGCCAGCGTGAGCGGCCAGCAGCCGCAGTGAGCGGCTGTCCAGAAGCCAGCGACTGATCTGCCTCGCCCAGGAAGAGCGCAATGATGGTGCCAACTTGGGCCAGTGAAGCAACATCCTTCACAACTAGACTGAAGAACAAAAGGACAGCAACTTGTCTGTTCCCCTTCCCCCAATTCCCCAGCACTGTTCCCATCCCCCCAATTCCCCAATAAAAAAAAAAAAACTTTAAAAAAAAACCAAAAAGAAATGTTTGTGTTTTATATGCTGTAAGGCTTAGTGAGTTCTGTGGTATCTTGGCAAAGGCATCCCTTTGGAGCTCCCCAGGCCTTTCATCTTGAAGCACCCTAACTTTTCTAAGTTGTGCCAGGAAGAACCTTTGGGATAGTGTTAAGATTAGACTCATTCATGGAGATATTTATTTGTGCTCCCCCACCCCCACCCCTCAATGTACAAGCCTTGGAATAGGCCCTGGAAGTATTCGGGTATATTCAAGTATTTCTTTTTAGAAGCTCATGAAAGATTTGAGTGCAGAGGTATCTTGAAAATGATAAGAACCTGTGTTTCCCCAGGAAGGATACTGAGGTGTTTAATGTCCAAACTTGCCAGTGTCTCCAAAGGGAACTAACTATCTCTTTCCCAAACGAGCAGCATACTCATATATTATTACATTCCCTTCTTCTCTGTTTATATCATTATCATCATTGTGTGTATGTGTACTAGAAAATTACAACTTCGGGGTGTTATAAAAATTCTGGGTCAACCTCTCTTTTACACAAGGCTTTATTTTCCTGGATCCTTGGATCCCTTGGATTTAATGTTCCTCTGATCCCATTACCGATTGTCTTCTGTCTGATACTATAAGTTCCTACCTGGGTCCCACTTCCGTATAATATATTTTTATATCCTGTTAGTCTTTAAACACAGTTAGATAATATATGTGGCATATTCAGTGTTACTTTCCTTTTCCTGTTTCCCCATGTATAAGATCAGTATGTTAATTCAGTGTTACTTTTCTTTTCCTGTTTTCCCATGTATAAGATTAGTATGTTAATTGGAAAGATACTAATTTGGGTTGCAGCCATACTCATATTTAGATCTTTAGGTTCAGATAATTGATAAGCAGAATGAACAAAAAATATTGTGATGAACTCTTCTTTTTATTTATAATTCATTGAATTTGAAGAGAATTTTAATATAGAGAACTGTTAGGTTAGTTTTATTTTCTTCAGCGTTCTAAAGTAGGCATTGTTTAATTCGAATTTTCAGTCTAATAACAGTGGGGATGGAAATGATAGCTAATACTCTATGCTCAAATACTATGCTAATTTTAGTTATACACATCAATTTGTTTAGTCCTTGTGTCAATCGTATCAGGTAGGATTGTTGGTATTATTATCATCCCCATTTTACAATTGACACTTAGAAGGGTAAGGAACTTGCTTATGATCATTTTGCAAGTAGGGGAACTAGTATTTGAAACTAATGTTATCTGTGTACTTAACCACTATGCCATAAACTATGTCCCTATTTAGCTATTCTTCAGTGAAACCAAGGCCAAGATTTTTCATTATTTGGCAAGAGTGAAGTCAGTTTCAATAAGAATGAGAAACAAAATTTTATCAATTTTAAACTTAGAGTTTCTAATATTTTTTATAGTACTACTTTTGTAATTTGCATCAACTTTTTCAATAGTTAAAATATATTTAAAGAAATGAAGCTATATATTCTGTTAATAGAGATGTGTTGAGATTAACTCTGACCACATTACAAATTTTGTTTGCCCTTAACAGTAGCCTTAAGTATATTTTTTCAGTCTAGGGAGGATGCTGTTCCCTATATATCCTTTACTCTTAGCGCTATTCAAAAGTCTGGGAGTTACATAATGCCAGTATTAGGGGTGCAAGGAGTCAGACATGTCAGTAATCTTCCCACGTGGCTCAGCTTGCTCTCAGGAGGTTTGGTTTCTTCTTTGTTCTCATCTGTGTCTCTGAAGAGTCATTCGTATTTGTGTGCCTGACTTTGACACCTACCTGTCATTCTCTAAATCATTATTTGGTATCCACTTATGTATGATGTAGCTTGGGGCTATGAAAAGAACTGAATATTTGGAGTCAAAACCCTGTTCAGTTACTTTGTTAGCCTTTTGCCTTGGGCAAATGACTTTGGGGGATCACTGTCCTCATCTACATAAAGAAATAGGAATAGTAATAATCAACCTCGTAAATAGTTATATTACATGGGGTAAGGTATAAAGCATTTATATAGTGCCTGGCTGTTCTGTACTTCACTGAAACTAGACTCCTAGACTCTGACCAGTGTTTTCCTACTCTCTGTTGTAATTTTGTTCATTCTTTCTCCTTGTTTCTGGTAGCAGCAACTTCTATTCTTTTAGCCTTTGATGAAATACCGTTTTAGTATCCCTTATTTTAGCCACGTAGCTCTAAATATTGTTTAAGGTTTACTCCTAGATTTTTTTTCTCTTTGTTTTGTTGTCCCCACTTCTTCCAAAAGGCCTAGTTTTCTCTCAAGATTTAAATGCTTTTCTCAGGCCAGCTGAGTGGCTCAGTTGGTTAAGAGCGCGAGCTCTGAGCAACAGGGTTGCCGGTTCGATTCCCACATGGGATGGTGGGTTCTGCCCACCCGCAACTAAGATTAAACACGGCACCTTGAGCTGAGCGGCTGCGAGCTGCCTTTGGGCAGCCGGATGGCGACTGAACTTGGAGCTGAACTAGCTGCACCTCCACAACTAGGATTGAAGGACAACAACTTGGCTAGTCCCCTTCCACAATTCCCCAATAAAAAAAATTCCCCCAAAAAAAGAACCACTGGTCTAGAGAAACCTATATGGGCAGTAGAAGAAGAATGTATTTCTACACCCTGCCAGCTTCCAAGAATGTTCATTACTACACAATGGAAAAACCTTGGTAAAAGTGGATAGAAAAATTCATGCTTACATACATTTTTAGACTCTCCTGAGAGGGCATCCCTGGAATAATCTTTTTAGGAAAATTAAGAAACCTAAAAGTGGTATATTGTTTTCATATTAGAGCATACTATGAATTTGGTGAAAAGTTGTATACATTTATGTACTAACATCACCAATAATGGTTTCTAATTGCTTTTCTAGCAAGGACATGTTGGGATCTGATGAAACTTTAGGAACTTTTTCAGCATTTAACCTTTACTTCAGTGTCAGTTTATACCCACTACTTTAGTTCCAAGAAATTTGAGGACTTTTGTTTTTTGGTAACTGATCACAGATAGTTTTTTGGTGCTTTTATTTTTCTTCTAAACATTTGTGGATTTCTTGAAAATATTCTTCTTCCTTCTTCCCTCCTTGCCTCTTTCCTTTCCACAACACACCTCTCCTTTAAAAAAAAAAAATCCTTGTACCGTAGTTCAAATCCTGCAACGATCATACTATTATAAGGAGCAAACTCTGAGTTATAGAACACTTCTAGGCGTCCTATCTGTAATATTCTATACAGGCAAACTTTCAGACCCTCAGAATAAGTTGTAGCGCCTTCTTGGAATTAACCAAACAAGATAGACCCGTATATGAATTCAAGAGGACTGAGAATATAATCTTAAGGAACTGGTATAACTAATATAATTTATAAACCTTAATAAAAAATGAGATTTGTTTTTAGCAGGTAAAGCCTAAAATTAACCTTTTTTTCTTTATTTTTTATCTCTTTTCATAGGTAGGTCATTCTAATATGGACATTAATCAGTCTTTTTCACCTGTATTGCCTCCATTTGTTCATGAGCCAGCCAGAGAGTTGGAATATCACTCTTCAGATCTCAGAATGTTGAGGATATCTCCTCAGATTGTGCCTAAGACTCTCAAACATTTATCAGGTACGTAGAAAAGGAGATATGAAGCATCCTTATGGCTAACTTGTTAAAAATCTGACTTTTTATTTTGAACTCCTGCAATAATGTTAACTTTGGATTGGGTGTATTTATAAATACCCAGGTCTTTTATTAGATGAGCCATTTGATTTTTCATTGAGTTCTTCATGACAATGTTTAGAACTGAATTACATGGAGGGGTTGATAGTACAGTCAGTTTGTTCCTATATTCCTTTCTGTGACTTGAAGGGAAAAATAATTGAGCACAAGAGGATAAGAGTGGATGCAAATAAGTTGTAGAGAGGAAACTGAGAGCTTATTTTTGATGTAGAAAGCAAGATTATCTGCTGCAGGAGGTGGGGACGGATGGAGGTATTAGGAGGTTAGTGGAGAGTGGCTTGCTTGGTGAAGGCTCAGAATTTATGTTGAAGTGAATAGGGGATGGAGCTGACCAAGGCCAAGCAAAAGGATTGGCAGGTGGTTCTGAGAAGTCAGCTGAAGTTAGACATGATTTTATAACATTGTCAGCATCTCTGATTTTTCTCTACTAAAACTCAGGAATGGAGAAGATGAATTACAGGATTGATTCTTGGTTGAGGGATTTGTTGAGTGGGCGGTTGTGGTGAAAGGATAGCAATGGAAAGGAATCAGTGAGAGAAAAGTTGATCAGCTATTGGTTTCAGTCAGCAGAGGGAAAAACAAGAAGTCAGGAGAGTTGTTAGTCTGGGAGAAAATAGAAGGAACAGAGATTTCTTTATGAAGTTTAATAGATGAGGTGGGGATGAGTTACTGAGAGAGCTAGAAGAATGGGTAACTTTGGTCAGAGTGAGTACATTTAGATGGGGATCAGTTTAAAGGGTGATAAGATCCATTGCTTGGCCCTGGGATTAGATAGGAGTTGAATGTAAAAATCACTGGGATAAAGTAAATTGAGATTTTTTTTTAGGCTAGCTTATTTATTGGATTGTTAACTACGTTTAAATATTTTCTGATTATGTGGGATTTGGGGTTTAGGTCTGTGTATCAGACCTTGAAGTCTTCAAAAAATGAATGGAAGCAGCTGGGAGTCGCAAGGAGAAACGTGATAAAGGGTGGTATTGAAGCTGTTTGTGGCCTAAGCTTCCACAAGGAGGTTTCATTTGTATGGTTTTGTTTGTTTATTTGAGGAAGATGGAAAACAATGGGAAGGAAATGATTGTGATGCCAACTTTCATCTCCTTGTTTCCAGAGTCATGGTATATGCAAGCAGGCTGCAAATGTAATAGTATTATCAGAGGAAAATCAAGTTTTTTTTTAAGGCAAAAAGTTGGAGAGTATTCTCTGAAAATTTTGAGAAAGGTTGTTTATTTAATAGAATGGTTTCAGAGAGCACAGAAGAAAGAAGGGAGGGAAGGAATAAATAGTGGGAGGAACCAAGGTAAGAAAACAGAGCAGAAATAGAATGTGGGGACAGGCGACTGGTAATATTTGCCTTTTGTCTGGACCAGGGGTTTCAGTGATGAGTGGCCTCAAATATACTAATTTTACCAGAAGTAATTTTGATACCAGAACAATATGAGGGTCCTAACTCTTATCTGGTCTGTTCTTAGAGATGAAATGAGGACTGCCATAGGACTTGAGAAGGGCATTGTGTCTACAAATGTCTTTTTGTGGCCTTCTTGAACAAATTATAGCATGCCTTGGTAAAGAATTCTCAGGTTGCAGTCTATTCTCCCTTATATCCTTCGAAATTGTCCTCAGGTTCTTGGGTATTCTGTCCTGTTTTTTTCCTCTTTGCATTTCAGTTTGGTAAGTTTCTGTTGACCTACTTCATGGCTCACTGATTCATTCCTCAGCTTGTCCAGCCTACTGATGAACCCATCAAAGGCATCCTTCATTTCTGTAATAGTGTTTTTGATTTCTAATGTTTCTTTTTTATTCTTTCTTAGAGTTTTCATCTCACTGCTTACATTACTCATCTGTTCTTACATGTTGTCCACTTTTTCCATTAGAGCTCTCAGTGTATTAATCATAGTTCTTAAAATTCCTGGTCTGATAATCCCCAAATCTCTGCCATTTCTGAGTCAGGTCCTATTGCTTGCTTTGTTTCTTCAGACTGTTTTTTTGCCTTTTAACATACCTTGTAAGTTTTGTTGAACACTGGACATAATATATTAGGTAAAAAGACTGAGGTAAATGGGCCTTTGTTGTGAAGTTTTAAGTTTATCTTTGTTGTGAGGCTGTATTACTGTGAGCTGTACCTGTGGTGTCAAGACACTAAAATTTCCTGTGGTGTCCTTGTTTTTTCTCCCATGTTGTCTTTTGGTTTCCCTTGAGACTCCTTCTTAAACAGGATCTGTGGCTTGTTTGCATTCTTTCATCTATAATTACTTATACAGAAGCTCTGTTGATGTAGTGGTACTATGTGGAGGGGAGAGGTTGCATTATAATAACCCTATGGTTAGGCCTCAGTCCTTTAGTGAGCCTGTTTCCCTGAGCTATTACATTTACAAGTGCTTCTCAGCCTTTTTCCCTCCTTAGGTGAAACAGGAAGGCTAGAGGGGGCTAGAGTTGGGTATTTCCCTTCTCTCAGCTTGGTTAGGCTCTGATAAAACCAAGTCAGGCTCTGGTAATTTAGTTTCCCTTGAGGTCAGCCTATTGTTATGGAGACCAGAGGTCTCTGGGTTTCTAAAATGGTTACTTTCCCCTTTCCCTTGCCATAAATGCGAGGGCATTTTTGTCATATCATCCTGTGAGCCTCAGGGGGTTCCAGGAAGTAAAACTCATGAAAATGTGGGGTCCCCTCTAAAGCTGGTCCCCAGGAATTTTTATCTCTCAAGTGAGTCCATACTTAGCCTCTAGCAGTTTGTTAATAATAGTTTAACTTTTCCTACCAATTCCTGGTTCCAGAGGCTTCTTGCTCCCCATAATCTGTGATTTTCTGTATTCACCTGTCTCTACAGTTTTCAAGATGTTGGTTTACCTTATAAACTCATTCTCTGATGGGTCTAAGAAGAGTTGTTGATTTTCAGTTTGTTCAGCTCTTTTCTTGTGATATGGGAGTGACTTCTAAGCTCTACATGTTGGACAAGAAAAATCTCTTTTTAAAAATTGTTTAAATGTATAATAAAAGCAACTAAACTAGAACTTTGGAAGGAATATCATATATTTAGAATGAAAATTTAAACCATTAGTTTTTTGTAAAAACAGCCTTTTGAGATGTAATTCACATACCATACAATTCACTCACTTAAAGTGTACAAGTCACTGAGTTGTGCAAACATCACTACACTCTAATTTTAGAACATTTCATGTCCCCGGGGAAACCCTGTACCCTTTAGCAGTTACTCCCTACTCTATACCCCCCTGAGCACTCCCAACCCTAGGCAACGCTAACCCGCTGTGTCTATAAATTTGCCAGTTCTGGACATTTTTGTATAAATAAAATCATACAACATGTATTCTTCTGTGACTGACTTTTTTCATTGAGTGCCTTTTTAAGGTTTATCCATGTTATAGCATGCATCAGTACTTTTGTATGTTAATTTTGTAGCCTGCAACCTTGCTTAACTACTTGTTTATTGTTTCTAATAATTTTGTGTGGATTTCTTATAAATTTTCTGTATAAGACCAAGTCATCTACAAATATAGTCTTACTTCTTCCTTTCCAATATGGATGCCTTTTATATATTTCATTTTCCAATTGCTCTGATTAGTACCTCCAGTACAGTGTTGCATAGAAGTGGCAAGAGCAGATATATTTGTCTTGTCCTGGTTTTGTGGGAAGGTATCAAGTCTTTTGACACTAAGTATGATGTTAGCTGTGGAATTTTTACAGATGCTCTTTATCAGGCTAAGGAAGTTCTCTTTTATTTTTAGTTCTTAGAGTATATTTATCACGTTAGGATGTTAGATTTTGTTAAATGTTTTTCTGCATTTTTTATGATGACCTGATGGCTTTTCCCTTTATTCTAATAATATGGTGCATCATTAATTAGTTATCATACGCTGAGCCAACCTTGCATTATTTGTTACATATGCCACTTGGTTATGGTGTATAAACCTTTTTGTATGTTGCTGGATTCCTTTTGCCAGTAAATTCATTTTTTTGAGGAATTTTGTATTTGTAGTCATAATAGATACTGGTGTGTAGATTTCTTCGTTGTTGTTGGGTTTTCGTACCAGGGTAATAATAGTCATAAGTTGAGTTAGGAAGCATTCTCTCTTCTCTTCTCTTCTCTTCTCTTCTCTTCTCTTCTCTTCTCTTCTCTTCTCTTCTCTTCTCTTCATTTCTCTTCTCTTCTCTTCTTTTCTAGTTTTTGGAAGAGTACGTAAAGGATTGGTATTAGTTATACTGATTTCATCTGTTTACCTTCTGTAAGTCTATTGAGAGTTTATATGTTTTATGAGTCAGTTTTCATAATTTGTGTCTTTCATGGAATTGATCCATTCTAGCTAGGTTATCCAGTTTGTTGGCATATAGCTGTTCATGGTATTACCATATATCCTTTTTATTTTGTGAGACTGGTAGTAATGCCCACTCTTTCATTTCTTTTTTTTTTTTTTTTTTTTTTTTTTTTTTTTGTGTGTGTGTGTGTGTGTGTGTGTGTGTGTGTAAATGCCTTAGGGTCTGTCTTTGAGCCTGTATAATTCTGGTTGGTTGTGCAGTTTTGAACCTGTGTACATCCGTGTGCCTAACACGTTGGGCAACTACCTACATGACTGTATGTGTACGGCTGTGTATCCGAATCTGAATATGTCGTGTAGTTCGTATACATACGAACTACATAGCTATGTAAACCATATACATATGTATATGTACCTGTGTCTCAGGATCTGTGCATCCTACAATGATGGTGTGGGTGTGAATGTGTGTGATTTTGTGTCTGCATATCCGTACATCTGAGTGGGTGTTGTGTGTATGACTGTGTAAATTGTGAACATGTACATGTGTCTCCCGTGGGCATTCGTGTTGCACGTGTGTCTCTGTGTGCATGTGAGGAGTGGGGTCTGTGCTGGGGGATTCC